AAGACGTGCTTTCCTTGGAGATTGAAGTTGGACGGGGAGATGTATGGGTAAGTGTCGTGACGGTCTGTGACGACGAAATTCAGGCCTAGCAAATGTGTGTTAGATGTGTACTGGCGATGGGGAAAGGCTCGAGTGAAGGTTTAGTACCATTGGAGGCGCGGGTTTCACCGAAATCTTTGGACATGATGGGTTTGCTGGATTCAAGAGTAATACGAAGTAGTAGATATCGAAATATTCGTTCAATGGTCGCAAAGGGTACTTGTATGGCAGTGTATATAGTCCTGCAGAACTAGATGTTGTATGACGTAAACTAGGCCCCCACTCGGTATGGCACAGGATGCAAACTAGGATCACGGCGGTATGCAAGGAGTTACCGGACATAGCTATTCGGCAGTTGTCATAGAAAGAAACGCGTTGTTTGAACGTGAAATGAAATTCGTGAATTAATTAAGTCTATACCCAATGCGCTTACTTGCTCAACGCTAATATCCTCTCAACAGCCCTCTCCGCCGCAATCATGACGCCCATAACAGGGTTCGTGGTCAGAGGCGGCACGATACTTGCATCAATGACGAACAAGTTCTGCATCCCGATGACCTTCGTATCCGTGTCAATGCAGGCCTCCATCCTACAACTGCTGCTCCAGTGTTGCACATTGCCAAGTGTGAACGCGCTTGGCGTGGTCAGATAAGTCGCAATCTGCTCGATAGTCGAGTTCTTTGCAACGTTGAGCGGGTTGAGGGTAGCCGGCAGAGCTTGGAAGATGTTGTAGACGAATGTCGCAATAGCAGTCGCATCGCGGGGGTCGGCGTAGAAGTTTGATGAGGGAAGAGCGATACCTCTGGCATCAAGGTTGACGCGACCGACGGATCGGAGACCAGAAGTGCCGTAGACGTTGAGTGTGATGGTTCCGTTCTTTGTGAGGCCCATCGCTCCGGCAGAGTCAATGGTGCCCTGGCAGCCCACTACATCATCGCCCTGCTGAATGTAGTCCCAGAACGCGCTCGTTTGGGAAGCGAACGTGTAGGGTCCAGATCGTTCGTTGAGGTACAGATCGACGTCGGATTGCGGCGGGTTGGAGTAGTCGTAAGCATACGAAGCAATCTCGTCAGATTGGAGCTCGATGAAGGTGTTTGGGTTATCGAAGACACCGTTGCCGACAGCGGTGTTGTTGATCCAGTCTTGAGAAGGAACTGTAACATGACCGTTCTTCGAGAGGTTTGTCAAGGTCGCTGCCTCACCGATGCCAGACCACATCAGCAGCTGGGGGCTGAGGAGGGCACCAGCTGAAGAGATGACCATGCCGCCTTCTTTGATGCAGATGCTTGACGAATTCTCGGCACCGTTAGTCTGAATGTCGACACCAGTTGCTACGCCGCCATCGCGACGAACACGCAAGACTTTAGTGCCGGTTTGGAAGGCAAAGTTAGAGCGAGCCAGGGCCGACTGTAGGTATGTCTTGACCGGACCGCTCCTTTGCCCATTCTCGTAGTACCAGATCGGGTGGCCGAACACCTTGGTCTTGTTGTGGTTCTCGATGCCATCGTTCAGGCCGACCTCTGCGAAACCCGCGCCATCAACGAGCCACTGCTTCGCAGCGTCGTAACCGCTTTGCAAATACCGCTTGCCGTCTCTTGAAGGGCTATCTGTGTTCGGTTGTTTCGCTCTGACCTTGTTGATTGCGCATTGCATGTCGTCATTCTTCCAGCCCTGGGGGAAGTAGCGATCCCAATCGCTCGCGGGTGGCTGGAAGAACAGTCCAGCGTTGATTGCGGAGTTACCACCGACGGTGCATCCTTGAAACGCGTTGACGACATCAGACGCGCATGTCAAGTTTCCTTCACCGGAATTCGAGAAGATGGATTTGTACAGCCCGGGAACATCAACGCGGCTCAGTTCAGTTCCGTTTAGCCATTCTGGGCGAGCACGACCGCCGGTCACGTAGTACGACGGGCCGCCCTGCTCTAGTAGTAGAGTCTTCTTGCCGGCTTCGCTCATGCGGTCCGCTGTAACGATACCCGCTGGACCAGAACCTGGACGATGTCAGTTTTGATGCCAGATTTTGGCTGCGGATCTTCGAGCTTACCAACGATAATGACATCCCATTCACCACCAGCGCATTGCTCTGCCGCAGCATAGCTCGCGAACGCAGCAACAGGTAATAAGACCTTCAACATATGAGTTGCTACCATGATGCCTTCTCTTTGATTTCGGAGGTGTTATTTGTCCTATGTTGCGAGGCTATAGCTCCTGCCGTGACAAGGCCGAAGGCTGACTTTAAGCATTCCATCTCACCCTCAGCTCCTAGCAAGTACGCTTACCCTAGCCTCGAGCTCTAAAGCACGGTGATGTACAAGTACCACCATGCTAAGCAAATTTGCAGCGTGAAGCTGGAGCCGACATCGCCGAACACGAAGAGGTATGACGCCGTTTACGGGGTGGAGCGTGCGCAGGCCTAAACCATCGCCCAGATGCGGGCGCTTTACCTCTTCGCACGAGCTATGAGCGCATAGATCTCGCGCCGGTCGACGGCCGTAGAAGCTTAAGAATCATCGCTCCGACGGATTGGGTGCGTGGCGGTCGTTGCGTGGTTATTTTGGGACATCAGCGGCGAGCTGAAGGTGTGGCGAGGTTGCATCGTGAGGGGTCCGGCCTGTCAGGAAGAAGCCCAACTTTAGCGGAAGGTGCGGCTGAGTTCGTGACTTTGCGTCAGTCACCCAGATCCTGACTCCAGTATTTACTTCTTTCGACCCCTCTGTTACTCGCATCGCAGATGGCGAGATTGCGTGGAAAAGCTTGGGAAGCTTGTCGCATGCAACCTGCCCGCTCGGGCCGCTCGGAAGGATTGATTGTGGGACCATCGTATGGGGCAAGGGCTATCTTGCGCGACGTTGAAATGCACGCGGTGAGGTATCGCAAAACTTACAGTGTCATCGCAGGATCTCGACTTAGTCATCAATATGTCTAGTCACCGTGGAGTCATGCGACGCACGGTTTTGTGCGAGCAACGACGAACCATCGATTGAGATATGCGACCGTCTCGCAGCAACCTATCTTCATTGACAGTCTAAACCTTCCGTACAAGGTCACCATTGCATACATCGCCGAGTTACTACGACCGAGATTTACCTCCTTCGTCACGATGGAGCAGCGGCTTTGGAGCTGTGGTCCTCAGGGACCGTAATGTTGAACGCAGCAGAAGTCCAAAAAGGATCACCAGAAATAATGTCACAACCGGAAGCAGCGGCATGTGCGAACGTTGGACGTATATCGCTGTACATCCGACACAGTGATCAGAATGACTGGTACTCACTCTGACAGGCGACTGTCTTCAAGAATGACTTGGTAACGGACTCATCACTGAGAAGTATTTAACTCTGCTGGAAGTGATTACCACATCACTCAAACAGCTCTCAGTATTCAATTCTACACACGCATCGAGTACCGTGGTTCGAAATCGCTACCACGAAACCCTGCTATCAATACCACCGGTTCACGCGACAGCAACGGCTGAAGAACACATAGCACGGCATTTTCAACGATGGCGGAATCTCCCACGGAAGCACTTTCCATCAAGCAGTATGATGAGTACATAAGCTCTTTAACAGGTCAGTGTACTTTTCAATTCTATATATCAATTCTAATCCGGAGCAGACTCTATCCACTATGTTTGGCAACAACAGACCCACGTTATCTTAAAGCCAGGAGAAGCACATGATGGCGGCTTCATCGCAGACATACGCGGCGACGAGGATGGTCCCAGTCTTCTTCCATGTGGAACGATCCAGAAACCTTTGAAAGAAGATGCTTTGAGAGAGCTATTCGCCGTCGTGAGGAAAGAAGTCGATAGGAAAGAAGTCATTAGGAAAGAAGCCATTAGGAAAGAAATCATTAGGAAAGAAGTCATTAGGAAAGAAATAAAACGATACCAAGATCTATTGCGAGATAAGAATGGCAACGATTATGCGTACCAAATCAGCCCATCGAGCGATCAATCGACATGGTCAGTAAACATACCCGATGTTTCAATTTGGAACACAAAAAATGTGTTGCTTTATGGGCGAAACGAAGAGTTGGAAACAGAGACCAGAGCCTTGGAATTTGTTCTCGATCTCATACAAGCGGAAGAAAGCCTTGATCGTACAAGCGCTGCATCTCACGAACAGGTGCAATAGGGGGGTTACAAGAACTAGGAAATTGAAGTTCTGATAGCGGTGGGGGATCTGGACGTGCAAGACTGAATGTATGCCATTTGTTTGTCTCGAGAGATGGGTAGTCTACAACGTCTTGCCTTCACCCGAGTGTATGGCGGAGAGCAACGATATAGTGTGTCATAATGCGATGTATCTTCCAGTGGCTGAGCTTGCTAGTGATCTACGGAAGCTGCATTTTGAAGATGAACGTATGATGAGTTATCCCATGCATGACACCTCATCTTGGTCAGGCTCGCATCATATGACTGGGTTCGTTGCCTTGATGAGCGATTGATGAAGTTCAGTCACTCATGAATACATTGCAGGTGGCGGATGAGTCGAGTGTCACCGACAGTGTGACTTTTTGGGTATGCTAGCGCCCGTATCGTCATGTGCGGCGAATGAGACAGCGATTCTGACTTATCATTTACAGTCATAACAACAGTATAAATACTTTAGTAGCTTCTCATACAAACCTCCTCAATCACTCCGACAAGAAGAAAAGTTCGACCCGATCGTCCAAATCAGACTAAAGCCTGCAATCCTTGACTTGTCCTACGATAATGACGAGATCCAAGCCGAGTGCGAGAGAACCCGAAATCGTTAGACCACCGAGAATTCCGTGTTGGTATGAAGATTACAACGGCAAGAGAGGGCTGGAAAAGGAATACCCATGTGAGACTGCGATACTACGAGGTAAGTAGACGGACAAATGCGCTCTTGTGGATCTAACGCGCGATAGATGTTCTAGGAAAGATTTGGAATGTTGATAAATGCACTCCAGGGATCATTGTCGGTCCAGTTACTATGCGCAAATTCTACGGCGACGTAATCGAGAAGGCTACCGAAAAGACCTTACTGAAGGACCCCTTCAAAGAACACCTCATCGAAGAAGGATCTATCCAAAAGGTACTCGTCAACCTAATCTTCAAGCTGAATGAGCATAAATGGCGACATTCCTTTGGCTTCCAGCAGGAGAACATCGATGCGATGAATGACGAAGGCACGCGACTTCGATACAGATTGAAAGAGCTCACTGGGTGCGAATATGTGTACACAACAGGCAAGTGGTCTGATCCCGACGCGAAGCGGCCTTGGGGCGCAGTAATTGAGGCAGAAAGACACTGGAGAAACAACCGACCACTGAAACTAGTGGCCGACCCCGATCTGGAATCGGAATTCCATGCTATTAAGTGGTGTGTGGAGTGGGTTCGGATAGAGGTGAACGCTGCGAAGATAGCATCCAAGCCTTAACAGCGCGGGACAGCAGCGTTTGCCTGGGGATGCTCGAGACGACCATGTGGGTATTTCCCTCCCATCTCAAAGGGTCCCTCATCCTAACAGACTATAGCGCAAATTCTCCCCGACTCAGGCGCGAACGAAGCGAGGTTTATGACAATTATCTGAAGCTGTTGCTGGGGGACAAAAGGCGCCGTTGAAACCGAATAACTCCGGAGGAGGGTAGAGAGCTTATAGTGTGATCGTGCACCCGTCAGAGAATTGATCGAGACTGTAGCCGCGAAGATGCGATTCCGTGAAGATCCTGTCCACTCATGTGTATATTGCGCCGGAGCTTGCGGGTGTAGTATCGTATTGCGATCGTGAGAGCAATGAGCTCGCTGGACTGGAGGAGCGATGCGGAGAGGAAGTGCGCGAATCGCTAGAGAATTAGGGCTCTTGCAGAGTACAAAAAGCTGTGCGAAATCTCAGAGACAGCACTGTTGGTGAATAAACCAGCGCATCGTGGATGTGCAAAAGGCGGAGTCGGGGTTCGTTTGCACGTATCCTAAACGGGATATACGATACTAAGGCATGCTTGCTATGCATCGAAAGACCCTTGTAACTGGTGCTCTCTCTTCTTTATCTTGAACGTATCGGGTAGTCCCATGCATATGTTCAACTCGTCTTCGTCGCTTCGTTGTTTTGTCCCTTCGTCGTTTCGTCGCTTCGTCGCTCGTCAAGTCGCGCTTCTGATAGTGTAGCCGAGGACGTGGTGACCATGATCTACTGAAGCTCTCTATCGTACCACTGGGTGTACCTGCGGGCTTTCGGATTGACCATATTATACGACTGCGGGTGCGGCCTGCGAGATGGTAAGTATCCTGGTTACCTTCTGGTGCTAGATCTTCAGAACAAGCGTAGGCGGTAAGCCCTCTACCGTCCACTTGCATGTCTGGCACGTAGTATCCTTCAGGCAGTCGCTCGACTACAGTCTGAGCCATGTCCTATGACAAGCTAATCGGGTCTGCGTCTTACACGACCTCCTATGGCGGCGCATTACTACTCTAGCATGTGCGGAGACCAAGGACAAACGGCAGGTCGTCTTTACAGTAGCACATGCCCTGTGGAAGAGAACAAGCCCCTCAAGCCTGTATCGGCATCGGCTGTTCAACGCGCCTAGCCGAAGCATCGACCCATGAGACCAACGGAATGGCTCTTTATATCCCCCGAGACCTGTTCTAGGCGGGTTGCGCTGGCCAGCCTGCGCGGAAGTCGACATTCTAGTCCAGCTGCACTGTCGGCTGCCGAACCGACACAAGGTTCCCGCATGTTATGCCCCATGTATGGTTGTAGACCCGCCATTGCGGTCCTGTTATCGCAGGATGAATCTTGCGGTGTCCGCCCGATATCGCGACGTATCAGAGGCTGTGTCCTGTTCGTGACAGGTCGTTTCGACGTAGGTGTTCAGCGCGACGCGTCTTCGCGCACTGTAGACGCGAGCGAGATGCGCCATCGGTAGTCACGGCGAGCTGGACTTTTCTCCAAAGGTTCGGCGTCCAATAGCGAGGTTGGTTTGTCTGTATATCGTACGTCATTCGGCGGTGTGGAGGGGGGTTTGATGTCCTTTGGTGGTGTGCCTGCCCGAAGTGCCTGTCTTTCGCGCTAGCGCGTAGTCGTTAGCGCGATAGGTATCCCGCTCTGGGCCCCGGGGTCGTTTGCATCTCCATCACTTGTCTCATACACGAGCACATTCAGCCTATCACAAGATCGACTTACATCTGGCATCACTGCAATGTCTCAGTATTCCTGGCGGTCAGGCCTGAACGGCTGCCTTGACGCGTCCGATGGCACCCCCATGTCCCAATTGCCCTCTCTTGGCACTCAGATTGCCCGTCACCCGTTGTTTGTAGGTGACTAAATCCAAAGTCGCGGGCACCCGTTGTTGTGATGACAAAACTCAAACTTGCGGTCACCGTCCATTTTAATTGACTCAACCTCCTGCTTCTGCGTTACTCAATTCGACCCTGGCACGCCTGATTTCTGCCACTCTCGTACTCTGGTCTAGTCTCTAGTCCTGACGAATCGCCCACGAGTTCAGCAAGTCTTGAATGAGAATATTACAGATACAAGAGCTGACGTTTTCGACTCATCACTCTCATCGAAATCACTCCCCCCGTATCATGCGTCAGCCGACATGTTTCCCTTCGCACCTCGCCACAAACCGTACCATGGTCTCAGACAGCAAGCCGAGTTCCCATTCCAGCGGAACAAACAACAAGGCTAACACATTCCCTGTACATCATGAGGCCTTGACAAGACTTCGCGAGGTCCTTCCCGATAAGCTTTGGCCGGAGGTACGCCCAGCACTCTCAGAAGACGTATCATTCGGCAAAGCAGAGCTTCAACACGGGAGGGTACTGGTCGGCCACGTCGACCCAGAAAAGAGCCAGGGACAGGATACTGCGGAAGAACGCGCCTTGTGGGCTCATCTCTGGAAGATTGATTGCAGAGGAGGTGCTGTACTGAGCTTCTATTACAATACCCACGAGGAGCTCCGGATCGGCGAGCCAAAGTTCCGCAAGGTCGAGTTTCAGAAATGGTGTTGCATGATCGCTACAGACCAGTCACCTGTAGGCTCCTCTGGTGGCGAATGGGAGAGGCGTCTCAAGACGGTCGTAAAGATTTCTCTCCTTGGGAGTGGATATCTGGACCCAAAAGATTATACGTTTCCAGACCTAGCAACAGTCATCAGTGTCATCAACAAGCGCAAGCCTACCCACCAAGCCAGTTCTTCTTCGATGCGCAACGCCAACGGCAAGCGACCGTCGGAGGGAGACTACCTAGACAGATTCATCGAACAGATCATGGAACCTGAGTCTGAGGACGAGTATCTGGGTGGAGATAACGAGGAAGATGCGTCTCTGACAGAACCTAGCAGTACTGCGCACGCTCTTTCTGCAAAAAGGTCGGGTATGAAACCATCTCATATACAAGAACTACAAGAGGCATTTCCGCCTACAGTCTGGCCACGTGTCGAGAACTGCAGTGAGGATGTCGGCAAAATGTACCCTGGAAAAGTCTACCTTGGATTTTTGCCATCTGCAAAATCACCGAGTGGCTCACCAAAGGAGGTGTGGGCGAGGGTCAAAGGGAAAGCGTCCGCCAAAGGGAAAGCATCCGCCGAAAGGTCTGGACACATTCTGTGCTACTGGAACGATGGCCGAAAGGCAAACTTGAGGGATGAAGATCTCGTTAGTAAGATAGATTTCGACAAGCCTTTTCGATATCTTGGAGATCCTGAAGCACGCGAGAAGAAGAAAACCATACGCGATCCCTGGCGGGCTTCGGTAGCCGTTTGTGTACGGGCAGCGCTCGTCCACGCGGGAATGATTGATGGAGATGAGCTCTCATTTCAGACCAAAGCACCACGAGCCGCCGAGATCATTCGCCAAAACCGGAACAGACTTGACACCAGCACCGCAAGACCCGCTGACGTAGAAGCCTCGGACGATATTAATGCTTCATCCAGCATTGATGTTATTTCCAGTTCTCCAAGCATCCCGATTGCAGACATGAGGCCCAAAAAGCGTCGTATGGCCTCTGATCACGAAGCTGGTGAAGATGCTGGAGAGTCAGTCTCGTTGGCTACGACACCAGCTCCGAGAGGATTCTCGACCGTAAGCTCGGTAAGTCACTAAACAACTCCTAATACCTTTCTAACTCTCGATTAGATATCGCCGTCGATACAGTTTCTCAGGAGGGCTCGTGAGACTGGGCCAGGCTCTCTATCTTACGAGCTTGCCGCTTCCAAGAAGAGATGTGCGACTCTCGAAGCCGATGCCGAGCGACAGAAGACAGAGAACGAACAGCTCCAAGAACTATGCAAAGAGAAGACTGTTGGCGCCGTGACTCTGCGAAGTGAGTTAGCCGTCGCCCGTGAGAAGATAGCAAAACTCGAGCGAGACGGCGCGGAGCTACAAGCGGAGATGAGCAGTCTCAGGAAGTTGAGACAAGCGCATGTAAAACAAGCGCAGCACATTCTACTCGAAGTCATGGCTTTCGACATTGGTGAGCGAGATGGTACCGACCCAGAAAAGGCAAGCCGGGACGCCAAGAGCCAGTACGTCGAGACATACGGTATCGAAGTTGAAGCCGGAGCGCTGAGCGATATGACTTGAGTGCGTCTAGAACTTCTGACAACTCAGCGATTCTGATGATGTTACTCTCATTCGGTTGTTGCTCACTATGCGCTAAAGTTGTGGAGTTTGGAAGCGCTTCGGCTGTCAGTCAGGCTTTATATGCGTGTACATGACACAGCCGGTGCTATGTATGCAGCCTATGCAGTACAATCGGCAGGCGATGGGGTTATCTGTATGTCATCTCCCTTTTCAGGTTGCTTTCCAAAAGTGTGCATTTACTACTTCCTGTCTAGCTACTATCAGGGCAGCACTCGGCTGGGCCTCTTTAGTGCCTCAGAACTGAGCAGCATGTGTCTAGTCATTTGTGTAGCCCAAAAATAATCTTTCGATATAATTTGCGCACTGCAGTGAATACATTTCTCGTTTGTTATGATCTCCTAGGTGATCCAACGACGCTAGCCGCGTTAGTGACGCAGTGCCCTCCCTCGTCTCCCACAACTCCCAAAGTTGTACAGAATTAACCTACGCTATCAATCCGATCACGCACAAGCGCACTAGATATATAGTCGCGACAACACAGAGTCATCTCCGTAACGCTATATCTGTGCAAGTGGATTGTTACAGCCTAGAGACCAGGTAAGTACCGTCTTTTCTCAAACGCAAAACGACACTCAAACAGGTTCAATTGCTCTACAAGCTATAGAGGCCGGCGGAGCATAAACAATGTAACGCGATAGCAATTACTAACTACGAGATAGGATAATAGACCCACATGGCGCCCGCTATCCAAGAGGTTCGCAGACTTGCGTATCGCGACATGCAGTGTTTGATAGTAAAGACTAACGATTACAACAGCCCACTAAAGATGTCCGTATCGACAAGACATTCCTCGAGGAACAACGGAGCAAATATCCGGCGGTACTCCAGAAACTCCGCAACGCCATTCCGGCCGACTACTACCCTAGAGTAGAGGCATCACAACAAGACATCTACTACGGCAACCCGTTCTACCCCGGTAAAGTCCTCCTTGGTACCAACGACGGCGTTCGCGTCTGGGCCTATCTGCGCAAAATACAGAATAACGGAGCGGCGTTGGAAATACACTACGACGACAACCGCGGCGGCGACGAGACAGATCATACACCGTTTGCGCAGTCTCAGTTCGTACCATGGTGTCGCCTTGTCGCCAATGAGGCCTGTCCTGTCGGTACACTAGCTTGGGAAAACCGGTTGAGGATAGTCGCCAAGATCGTTATGTTGGAGGCAGGCTACTCGGATGCTACGGTAGCTTCGAAGAACACTGCAGGTGACCTGTTTGCATCAATACGGAGGAACGTCGAGAAGGGCCTGGACAACTTACCGCAAGTACCTAGGCCAAGTATACAACCGTCGGCGGGTGGAATCGCAGCCCCTACTGGACCGTCCCACACTGTCGACCTCACTGAGGAAGCCAAGAAGACTATCACAGCTGATACCTCGAAGCCTAAATCGCATGGGACAGCGACAAACTGCATCAAGGTACTGAAAGACGTCATCCCTACCGAACATTGGTTTCAGACACGCCCCATCGCAACCAACATAGCACGAAAGATTACCCTGCTAGATCCCGACAACAAGGAATACTTCGGCTTGTTCCCTGGCAAAGTCCTCCTAGGCCATCTCCGCGACTTCGACCATACACCGGTATGGGCAGCATTCCGCCGTATCAACCGCACTTCCAAGAAGCAAACACTGTCGGGACAGTGGCGCATGTGTTTCTTCGATGATAAGCTATTTGAGGTTGCGCTGCCTGCGACCCTAAACGGTACCGTGAGCTTCGCGCCTGCATTCCAGCTACTCACTGAGAGCAAAGACACCGTCGGTACACGCAAAGTCTGGCTTGCTAGAGTCAGCATGTGCGCACGTCTCGCGCTCATCGACGCTGGACTCCAGGACGACGAGGGCTTTGCAACTCGGGCAGACGCACGGCCCAAGGAGCTGGCAGCAGTGATCAAGAAGGCGTGGGTACGACTACGACGTACACTCCAGGGAGATGAACAATTAGAAGCTTTGCCGCCGCAATACCGCAAGACGTGGAAGAACTATGCACCGGGCGTTCCTGCTATAGACGCTACCGTGCGCCATCCAGTACAAGCGCCTACAGACGCCCAACCCAGGGATGACGAACAGCAAGCAGACTCGCCCACAGAAGACCTCATCCAAGACCTAATCGAGATATCAGAAGACGAAGACGACATCATGGAATCTGGCTACCAGCTCCGCGCATCTAGTCCATGGCCCACTTTCCCGAAGCGCGAATTGTTCACCCCAGCGCCCACCTCTTTCACCATGAACAAGAAACAAAAGATCGCTCCGTCCGACCGTACCTCTCTGCTCGACTTCATCAACCTGACTACTGCCATCGACACCCCGGATACTGCTGCGCTCGAAGAACAGGTCCGCGCATTGACTGAAGCCAAGACATCTCTCAAAAACACTGTCAACGATATGAAAGCACAGCTGGACGAGTACAAGACGAAGAATCGAGAGTTGCAGGTGTTCAAGGCTAAGCATGTTGAGCACTGCCAAGCTGTGATGCTCAAGTTGCTGACGCAGAGGAATGTGCGGAATGGAAGTAGTGAGGTGGATGCGGAGAGGGATGCGAAGACGGAGTATACTCAGGTCTACGGTATTGCGATTGTGGAGGATATTGGAGGGGACTGAGGAGAGTACTGTTGGTTGTATGGATGTGAAGAGTTTGGATTGATGTCATGGGGAGGTAGTGTTCTGGTTGCAGAGGTGTATTGGGAAGATAACTGTTTGTTCAAAGGGGTCTCCGCCTAGAACCCACCAAGACCATCATCGCTGTCTTCGTAGTCGTAAGACCAGTTATGATCAGCGTCTCTTTCCACCCGTTCTTCTTTACTACCCGTTAACACCTTCCATTCCCGTTCCTCCACCGCCTTCCCCAACCCAATAGATAACTGCAAATCCTCGTCCTCACCCTCAAGCGCATGGTAGCTCCAAACATAGTCCACATCCGAAATACAATGTGGTTCATTCACAGCGCCAATGCGGCATTTTACTTTAAGCAGCTCGACTGCGACGACCGAACCTTCTTCACCAGGGGAGGTCATGTTGGATGCCGAGTCTACCCGTCGAAACGGTAGTTGGACTGCTTGTGCTTGCGGGGTTTCCCTAGCCTCGGTTATGGGCTCGTGTGACACGGTCGCACGCTTGTGGCTTGGGGATTTGGAAGTTTGGAGGCCGGTGACGAAGTAGATTGGCTTGTTTTGTTGCGATAGCTTGCGGAGGAAGTCTTGTGTGCTGGTGTCGTTGCGTAAGGTGTCGAAGACTTGTGATGCGTCGGTCAGGGTGGAGTGCGATGTGGATGCAGCGTCCTCTTCTTTTGAGCGGGTCGTCCTCTGTATAAACTCTGAAGATACTGAAGGCTTGATCGACTCGGAGGAGAGGTTCAAAGGGTTGGTAGCGATTTGCCCGAGGGCGATGGATGTTGATGGCAGTGGTTCTGGGAGGTGTAGAATCGACATCCTTGCTATAGATCTGTATGAGAATTGCGGCTAAGCTGGGTATCTCGAGTTAATGGGAAACAGCGTAAGTGAGACCAAGATGAGGAGATGCAGGACAGTCAAATACGAGCGCTGGCTAGGACCAGCGGTGAAGTTATATTGTGACGATGTGGACTTGGCCCAGTCTTCAATCGCACCATGACATAACTGCTGATGCTGTTGCGTTAGCATAACGTCTCTGCGCTTGATGCTAGTTCAGTGTGACGTCTGTCATTCGTTGTCGCCCTGTTGTCGGTCGTACGGGAAGGGATGATCATTCGGCGCGAGAGTATAGCTCGGCTAACAAAGGGTTATGAGGCCCAGTCTTTGCTCCACCTAGGGTTAAGTTACTCAATTGGCGAACAAAGCCCGCAAACTTGCGATTGCGTTACTAAGAAGCAGCCGGGGTGGTCTGATGGAGATCGGCTGACTTGTTCCTGAGTGCGATCCGACCTCGGGCTCGGAAGGCTAGATTGCATGCATCAGCGGGAGGACGCGGAGCCGCATGCTAAGATTTTCCAGAGATTTTGGAAGATCGTTTCGCGAGGAGCTGCATAGCCATTGAACTCTTCGTGAAGAGATATCACACGGAACCTAATATGCCGTGGGTATCTCGTAGGGCAAGAAGGTCCACATCTTGCGTGCAACCTTCCGAAACCAGAAGAACAACAGCTATCGCACTGGCAAAAGCGCTCGCGTGTCAATATACGACGATAACGAAGGATGGATATTGAGATTGCTGATAACGAATGTGTGCTATAGTGAGCCGCTGCCTCGGGATGGTTTGCAAAGGATGAGGGGTGATTCGTCATGTGAAGGGCTGACTAAGGACGAAACGTGGCGTCGTGGCGCGTGGGCGTGGGCTGGCGTGACGCGATCGACATGACACGCTCTTGGACGTGACATTTGCCCTTGGTAATATATGCGTCGCGCTTGCCGTCATTGCACCGTTGTCGCCTACAATAGACCGTCGCTCGTCCGTCCCTGATATGGAGATGAAGCTGGGTCGGATGACTGGGATGGTCGGCCATGAATGTCGCTGCTTTCGGCAGCGGGCGGAAAGCTGACACTGCCACACTGCGGGAGGAGCATGTACCGTAAACATGACAACGCCAACTTTCGGGCCACTTTTGCAGCCCAGACACCTACCAATTCCTACGGCTAGCCTGCCATGGCAGAGACAACCATAGCCCCTACCCACCACCAGCGTCGCCAGAGTGCCCTCGCCGACATCCAATTCGCCTCTATCGTCGACGATGACCTCACACCCTCCGAAGACGAGTCGCCGGAGGAAAGCGCGTTTGGGCTCGAGACAGCACAGTCAGCAATTGGAGTTAGCATAGGAAAGCAGCAGACGCGTCTGACTTCGCCGAAAACGCCGGCTGCGGAAAAGGCTGCTGCCCTAGAGGACACGGAAGACGGAGCCTTTTTCGAGGGTTGGCAGGAAGCTACCGATGCCACACCGGAACTGAGAAAGACGACACCGCGTCCAGAACCGAGCAAAGATGTTCAGAGAGCTGACGTGAGGCCGAAACCCACGCACACATCGAGCAATGACGACCGCGAGCGGCAATCCGACCCTCAAACGCGACTTCCTTCACCATGGCGAGCAGGACCGAAGACATTCCACAAGGAGAAGGCGGGCGACCATCGAGCTACACTCCGCGAACACCTACAGATTGGAAGACGGCGGGCATCCTCGAGCGGCTCCATGGGGGACACGATGCGCAAATACATGCCCTTCACCCTGCCCACGTCTATCACCAAATCCTACAAAGACATGCACTTCTCGCTGCCGAGTCTTTCCGCACTCTCGCTCGATACAGAGAAACCACGCACCTCTGACAGGAAGAGGAGAGATACCTTCGCCAGCAGCGGACCAGCCCGAGACATACCACAACAGGATGGCGCCAGCCATTCCACACCCAAAGAGTCGAGGAGCGCATCGCGGAGCCTCGTACAGGTGCCACAGCAACCCAATACCGCTCCGATACCCCAGCGCGAATTCAGCGACGAGAGCACCGACACCCTTCAACCGTCCCCTAAGATATCGAGCGACCGACCGGCGCCTAAGTTACGGCGGTCCAATTCCGAGGGCTCTTTGCTCGTATATCGCACAAGGTCTTTTGCGTCTTCGCTCGGCGACGACACGCGCTTCGAGAGTGTACAAGAGCAGGTCAACAGTAGGCTGAAGGCCCTCAGAGACAGCTGGCAAGACTCGAATTTCAAGTTGCCAAGCCCTTCGTTCCCAAACTTCAACCTATCGTCCAGCAGCGAAATATTCAGAACCCGCAATGCCAGTATAGCGTCTAGACTCCGCGAAACCGACAATGTCCGCCCAAACGAGCCTGCACCGGCAGCACGTCGCGACTCGACAAGGAAGAAGCGCCTGCCGTCAAAAGGTGGGGACAGCGACTTTGAGCCGCATCCATACTTTACACAGGCTCTGCAAGAGCTTGAGGGGGACTTGGTCGTGTTGGGAGGCTATCGAGGTTCCATCTTGCGCTCAGCCGAACCGCCCCATCGACAGCTCTGGGTGCCCATAAAAGTCGGGCTAAACCTACGCAAGGTAGACTTGGAGGTACCTTTGGACCCAGATGCGGATGAGCGCATGGAGGAGAGCATTATACCCAGCGGCATGCTGACCCATATTGGCCCCGTCGATATAGCCAAGCGCCTGTTCAAGCGTCTGAATGCATGCGATAACGTCAAGGATGGTAAACTCAGGGTCCACAACTACGGTTATGACTGGCGGCTCTCTCCGCACTTCCTCAGTCGGCGGATGATACAATTCTTAGAGTCGCTGCCCTGTAATCAGCCAGGCGTCCCTCCAGAGAAGCGTGGTGCCGTTATCGTCGCACACTCATTAGGCGGCTTGATCACGCGACATGTTATCAACCAGCGTCCCGATCTAGTAGCCGGTGTTGTATATGCCGGTGTGCCTCAACGCTGCGTGAATATCCTCGGTCCATTCCGCAACGGCGACGATGTCCTCTTCTCCTCACGCGTGCTAACAGCACAAGTAAACTTTAGCATTCGAACATCCTACGCTCTTCTGCCTCTCGATGGAAAGTGCTTCATCAACAAGCGCACGAAAGAAGAGTACCCTGTAGACTTCTTCGACGTCAATACATGGAAAGAACACCGCCTCTCACCATGTATAGCAGCACCTCTGCCCCGCCCCGAACAACCCAAAGACAGCAACTTCAGCGTTAGTGGCCTGATGAACGCCGTCTCCTCATCACTCCCAACCTTCTCCACTCGCAAAAGCAGCACCGCAAAAGACGCAGCCGACGTAGCTCGTAACGCCGCGAACAACGTCACAGAAGGAAGCGCAGAACAAGCAGGCATGGGACCACAGATGGGCCACGAACACAACATCGAGACATCCAAAGAGCCGAACCCCGCGACCGATGTCACGATCCCTTACGACAAAGCCGTGGAGTATCTCGCGCGAACCCTCGCTGAAGTCAAAGCGTTCAAACAAGAACTCGACCACCGCCCTGAACACACGACGTCGAACGCATACCCACCCATCGCACTCATCTACGGCAAGTCCACACCAACGGTATATGGCGCAAAGGTAGAAAGCAAAGAAGCCATCAAGCGCGCAGACGTGTATGACGAGCTTGCATTTGCGAGCGGCGACGGCGTGGTACTCGCTCGTGCGGCTATGGTGCCTACTGGGTATAGTGTAGTACGGGGCGGTGTCGTCTCGAGCGACCGCGGGCATGTCACTCTTCTTGGTGATTTGGAGGCTGTAGGGCGGTGTCTTTGTGCTGTTATCCATGCGAGGAGGAATGGCGTTGGGATGGGGGCTGGGGCGCGGTGAGATTATAGAGGTGCCTACATATTTCTACCTAGAGTCAATGAGATTAGATCAACTTCATGGACATAGTGCTTCCTTTCTTGTGATGTGTAGATTTGTACTTGAACTTCGATGCAATGTCTCTGTGCTATGCAAAGGCAGCAGTTTTCTTAGGCAAAATGTATGATCCTCACGCCAGTAGTCTCAACAGCCCTGACAAAAACACACACCTCTCGACCAGCATCCACGAGCTCGTCGCAACAAACAACGAAATCACTCTGGTGTCCGCCAAGCCATCTGCCCTTCTCCAACAATCGCGTTCCTCGTGTGTCTCCATCGGCCCTTCT